AGGGTGCACCCTACTATAGCCAAAGCTAGCAGGCTAATTGCCTGGCGGCGACATGCTACCCCAGGAGGCGTAGCCGGATTTACGTTGCTTGCGCACAACCGGCCGCGGCAGCAGCGCGACGCTGAATTCCACATAAGATGTGAAGAGAATTCATTCATTGATTGATTCTTCGTTCATTCATTTCATGTCATTCATTCATTGATTGTTCCGTTCATTTCAATTCCATCCCATTCCTTCATTCATGCATTGATTCATTCATTCATTCATTCATTCATTCATTCATTCATTCATTCATTCATTCATTAATTCATTCATTAATTCATTCATTCATTCATTCATTCATTCATTCATTCATTCATTCATTCATTCATTCATTCATTCATTCATTCATTCACTCATTCACTCATTCACTCATTCACTCATTCACTCATTCACTCATTCACTCATTCACTCATTCACTCATTCACTCATTCACTCATTCACTCATTCACTCATTCACTCATTCATTCACGCATTAATTATTTCATTCATTAGTTCAGTCATTAGTTCACGAGTTCATTCACACATTGATATATGTTTCATTCATTCATTCATTCACTCATTCATGCATTCATGTGTTCATGCATTCATTTCATTTCATTTCATTTCATTTCATTTCATTTCCTTTCATTCATTGTTTCATGTTCATTTTCATTTCATGTTCCTTCTATTTCCTTTTCTTTCATTTCATGTCATTTCATTTCATGTTCATTCACTCACTCATTCATTCGTCTACTTATTCATTCATTGCTTCATTCATTGCTCATTCATTCATTAGTTCTTGCACCCATACATTCACTTCATTCATTTCTTTCATTTCATTCCTTCATTCTTTCATTCATTCATGAATTCATTCATTCATTCATTCATTCATTCATTCATTCATTCATTCATTCATTCATTTCGTTGATTCATTCACTCATTCATTCATTCTTTCATTCATTCATTAATTTTCATTTATATCACTTCATTGCATGGCATTGCATTGCATTTCATTTCATACATTCAATCGACAAACGCCGCGAAGACGAGAACCCGGCGCAAACGTCGAAACCAAACTGCGGCAAGCCAGCTACAAAGGCCCAAAACAGCGAAAGCGGCGAAAACACAAAAACGGAGAAAACGGGTACATTCATTTCATTTCACTCATTTCACTCATTTCATTCCTTCACTCATTTCGTTTGTTCCATTCATTTCATTGATTTCATTGATTTCATTGGTTTCATTAATTTCATTCTATTCGTTCATTCATTCATTTCATGTCATTCATTCATTGATTATTTCATTAATTATTTCATTGGTTACTCACTGATTATTCAATTCATTTCAATTCCATCACATTCCTTCATTCTTTCATTCCTTCATTCCTTCATTCATTCACTCCTTCATTCCTTCATTCCTTCATTCCTTCCTTCCTTCCTTCCTTCATTCATTCATTCATTCATTCATTCATTCATTCATTCATTCATTCATTCATTTTCATTCATTCATTCATTAATTCGTTCCTTCATCCATCCATCCATCAATCCATTCATTCATTCATTCATTCATTCATTCATTCATTCATTCATTCATTCATTCATTCATTCATTCATTTGTTCATTCATTAGTTCATTCATTAGTTCATTAGTTCATTCACACATTCATTTAATTGTCATTCATTCATTCATGCATTCATGTGTTCATGCATTCATTTCACTTCATTTCATTTCATTTCATTTCATTCCTTTGTTTCATGTTCATTTTCATTTTCATGTTTATTATAATTCCGATTCTTTCATTTCATGTCATGTCATTTCATTTTCATTCACTCACTCATTCATTCGTCCACTCATGTATTCATTGTTTCATTCATTCATTACTTCTTTCACTCATACATTCATTCATTCATTCCTTCATTCATTCATTCATTCATTCACTCATTCATTCATTCATTCATGCATTAATTCATTCATTAATTCACTCATTAGTTCATTCACTCATTCATTCATTTTTCATTCATTCATGCATTCATGCATTCATCCGTTTATGCATTCATTTCATTCATGTATTTCGTTCTTTCGCTAGTTATTTCATTCATTCATTCATTCATTCATTCATTCATTCATTCATTCATTCATTCATTCATTCATTCATTCATTCATTCATTCATTCCATTCATTCATTCATTCATTCATTCATTTCATTTCATTTCATTTCATTTCATTTCATTTCATTTCATTCATTCATTCATTCATTCATTCATTCATTCATTCATTCATTCATTCATTCATTCATTAATTCATTCATTCATTCATTCATTCATTCATTCATTCATTATGTCCTTCATTCATTCAATTATTTCGTTAGTTCATTCATTAGTTCATTAGTTCATTAACTCATTCATGCACTCATGCATTCACGTGTTCATGCATTCATGTAATTTCGTTCATTCATTCATTCATTTCATTAATTTCATTCATTGAAACATTCATGCATTCATGTTCATTTTAATTTTGTTTCCTTTCCTTTCATTTCATGTCATTTCATTTTCATTCACTCACACATTCATTCGTCCATGCATTCATTCATTGCTTCATTCATTCATTAGTTCTTTCACTCATACATTCACTCCTTCACTCATTCATTCACTCACTCACATTCATTCATTCATTCATTCATTCATTCATTCATTCATTCATTCATTCATTCATTCATTCATTCATTCATTCATTCATTCATTCATTCATTCATTCATTCATTCATTAATTCATTAATTCATTCATTCATTCATTCATTCATTCATTCATTCATTCATTCATTCATTCATTCATTCATTCATTCATTCATTCATTCATTCATTCATTCATTCATTCATTCATTCATTCATTCATTCATTCATTCATTCATTCATTCATTCATTCATTCATTCATTCATTCATTCATTAATTCATTCATTCATTCATTCATTCATTCATTCATTCATTCATTCATTCATTCATTCATTCATTTTCATTCATTCATGCATTCATAAGTTCATGCATTCACTTCATTTGTTTCTTCCGTTCATTCTTTCTTTCATTCATACCTTCATTCCTTCATGCAGTCATTCCTTCATTCATTCATCCATTTTCAGTTTCATTTTATTTCCTTTGCTTTCATTTCATGTCATTTCATGTCATGTCATGTCATTTCTTTTCATTTTCATTCACTCTCACATTCATTCGTCCATGCATTCATTCAATGCTTCATTCATTAGTTCTTTCACTCATACGTTCACTCATTCACTCATTTCACTCATTCACTCATTCATTCATTCATTCATTCATTCATTCATTCATTCATTCATTCATTCATTCATTCATTCATTCATTCATTTATTTGTTCATTTATTCATTTGTTCATTTATTAGTTCATTAGTTCATTCACTCATTCATTTTTGTGTCATTCATTAATTCATGCATTCATGCGTTCATGCATTAGTTCATTCATTAGTTCATTAGTTCATTCACTCATTCACTCATTCATGCATTCATGCGTCCATGCATTCATTTCATTTCTTTCTTTCGTTCTTTCTTTCGTTCATTCCTTCCTTCCTTCCTTCCTCCATCCATCCATCCATCCATCCATTCATTCATTCATTCATTCATTCATTTATTCTAGTCATTGTACACTCATTCAAACGGCGAACGCCGAGAAAACGAGAAAACGACGAAAACGGCGACAACAGGAAAACGGCGAAAACGGGGAAAGTTAATGCATTGGATCAACTCATTCATTCATTCATTCTGAATCGGTGAACGCCGCGAAAACGGGAAAACGGCGAAAGCATCGAAACTAAACTGCGGCAAGCCCGCTACAAAGGCAGAGCGGTGAAAGCGGCAAAAACAGGAAAACGGAAAAAACAGGAAAGCGAGAAAACGGCGAAAACGGCGAAAACGGCGAAAAAGGCGAAAACGGCGAAAACGGCGAAAACGGCGAAAACGGCGAAAACGGCAAAACGACGAAAACAAGAACCGGCGGTTTGCCCGTTTTCCCGTTTTCTCGTTTTCTTTTTGTTCGGGCATCATCCGGCTGGCCCACGGCGCGCGATTGAAGTGCTTAGCCCCCTAACAGGGGGTTAGCCCAACCCAACAAAAAGGCTTCAAGACCAAGAGGTCAAAAAATGGCTTTGGCGCAAAGCTCCAATGATGAGGAGACAACGCAAAAAGGTTCCGTTTTTCCTTGGGCCTCATTGCTCTACTGGAGAACGCTGCCTGTGCGATGCAAGGCCAGCATGGTGAATACCGGCTCACATAGCGCATACAGTGCAAGCTCAATGTGTTGCCCCCTCGAAACAACAGGGCGGGAAGAGTAAGGGTGGGCTGAAACCGACAACTGGATCTTTAATCCCACCTCACCCAAACCCTATGAGCCAAAGAAGGCGACTAGACAACGATTGGGCTGAAAGATGCCGTTGGAAAACTCCCTGCCTTCAGCACATGCCTGTGTCTGTCATAGTGGATTCATCTCACAAAACTGGCAAGAGTTGCGCAAGTCTCCAAAGCTTCAGGGAAGCTAAGAATGAGCAACCCTCTTTTACATTTCAAAGATAGAGCCGTCAGTTCCTGAAGGCCGTCTTTCTCTCCCCAATCAATCCAAACCACCAATTAGGGGTGGTAGATTTGAACGGGTCTCGAGCTCTTATGGACATGAGAAACCCCTCCAAGGGAAGCTCACAAGGGACAGCCAACCCTTTGCAAGCGGACCAACAACAAAAGGAAAAAACCTCCGAAACTCACACGAAAAAACCCGAAAAGGGTACGAGTCAGGCGAAACTGAAGACCTTGGGTCCGGGCCATCCAACTGAAATGAGCTCCAACGAAGCCCTCTACAAACTTGCCGCACCAGCCATGTCAGAACTTGTTACTTCAATGAATGAACTGTTACATTGGCTGGAGCCATTTCTGGTTGAGTCATGACCGGTTCCACCATCCCCACACCTCTGCAGCAGAACCGGCTGCTTTTTCGCTGCCGCCGACACCAGCGACTTGGCTGCGGTGAAGAGCTGATTCCCAAAGCGGCCCCCTTGGCTGTGCCAAGGGATCGGTCTGCCCCAGGGGAACATGCTCTACTCCCAGGAAACCCTTTGGATGCGGTTTTTGTGGATCCACCCCTGTAGATTGATAGCAAAAGAGTACCAAAAGAGTACAAATCGAGGAACAACTGGCCTCCTCGCGGGTCGGGGCGAAAAGCTAAAGCCCGCCCATCTGCGCTTCTTCTTTGGAGGGCGCGACATTCCGGGACACAGACGCAGCCCTCGGAACTTGTTCAGCTGAACTCCGGCATCAAAGTCAGCTGAGGGAGACAACAAGACCGGCCACGAACTTTGGGGTCGACGGTCGGACCCTTCGGGGGATGGATTGCTCAGATGCCCAGTGGCCATGGGACTTAAAAGGGCATCCTTTGTTGGTGGGTTGACTTAAAAGGGATCGGAACCCTTCCCCCAAAGAAAGGTTGAAACAAGGGCACCACTGGGCAACTGGCAGTGCCAGGGCTTCTTTTTTTCTCGCGCTCCGAAGGGCACTGCTCCGTCGCTTTGCTTTCGGCCCAAGGTGCCGCCAATGTCCACGGCCAAAAGGACCATCTTCAGACGCCCTCTCGACGGCTTTTCGGCCCGGGGCAAAAACGAGCCAACGCGAGGTGCAGATTCATGGGGAGGACTGTCTTAAGACGAGGGATTCGGAATCTCCCGAAAGCCAACAAACGTCTCGCTAAAGCGGGCAAAATCATGCTTAGTATGGCCCACCAGAGTTCTTACGAAATTGACCTTCACTTGAGTGAAGTCCCTTTGTAGTCACCAGATCTGAGGAAACCTCCGGCCCTTTGGAAAGATTGCTTGAAGACCAGAAGTAAGAGCGTCAGCCAGCAAGCATGCCAGTGTATCTTGGTTGACGTTGGAAGGGGAGCAAAAACTTAAATTTTGGCAGTTAAGTGGGGATTTCCCACAACCACAATAAGCAAAAATGTAAAATGTTTAGCAACCACAATGCCACAACCATGGTATTCCGCACGCAAGCGAGGAATCACTCGACATGAGGCAAACACAACGCCCGCGAAAGAGAACTGGCGCTGCCATGGCCTGATGCCCTGGCACCCTCGAGAACACCCACGCTCTGGGGCGGATGCAACGGGTGTGGCTGCGAAGCATTTCTGCAGCCATACAAAAGCTACATATCCAAGAAAATGTTCGATGTGAACTTCATGCCCCAACCCTCGAATCGAGTCGCCCGGCGAAAGGGCCTTCCCGGTCCCAGTCATCGATCTGCATGTGCCCGCAAGCTCCTTTCGAGCTTCGCACGAGGCTTGGTCTTCCAGACTTTGCAGGGACAGGTCTAATATATTAGATCGAAAATGAAGCAAAAAGAGAACACCAACAAAAACGCCAGACCCAAGTGGTACTTGGCGGACACCTTTTAAGATCAAGGGCCTTTCCTTTGCCAACACTGACACACACCTCCACTTGGCTGTGTCCTTTTCGGAATCCCTCGTTAGTTGGTTTGGCGTAAAGGGAAGCCGTTCAAACGCCACAAAGAGGGGTACCCGCAAAAAGGGCCACCCAGTGATTGTTCCTGTCGCTTCATCTTTAAAGTCGACCTGCCCAGTTTGCTCCTGTAGATCGCGCAAATCAACCACAGAAGCCAATCAGAATCCGGGTGTGTCTCAAAATATGGGACCTCCACATTGGCGGTGTTCCTTTTGGTTTCCCTTAAAACCACCTGGCTTTTACTTTCCCTCCGTAGCACTTCCGGAACTCTCGTCGCAGGAAGTCCCTCGTGTCAATGACAGACAAGGCCGGCAACCGTCCGTATAGGAAACCCGCGGACATTCACACCAAAGAAGACAGGGTTGCCCTGCCCGTGGCGGGCAAGCCATGGAATTCCCCCGTCCAGATTTCGTGGCCGTGGTAGTCGCGGTCGTGGTCGTCTCCACCACCGCCGAAGTCAAAGGACTTCGTGTCGGCGCCAGAGTCGCGGCTGACTCATCTCAGGGCTTCTCAAAACCGCGTACCCCCTTTTGGATGGCTTCGAAGGACCCAAAGGAGAAACTTTTGGGGGGGGGTCTTTCTTTTATGGGACCCCCCAAAATGGTTTCGGATGTCCTTTTGGTTTCCGTGCCCTCCGAAACCTGTTCTCCACTTTGAGAAACTCCCACCTGGCTGTGGCGCGTCGCCTGGCCCGGGCGGCGCGCCACTGAGCCACATACCCGTATGTCTCAAAACAGGGGGCACCCAAAAAATTGAGTTCGTCCTTCCGGCCTCTCTCGACCAACTGAAACTGGCTCTGTCACAACACGCAACGCGCAACACGACACAGTTCGCCATGCTCACGCGTCATTCCGCGCCCGAAGAGTCACTCACAGGCGCCTGCGCCTGCAGAGGCGACCATGGAATTCCTCAGCCAGCATCGTGCTCCTTTCCCGAAGGCCCCCTTTGGAAGCTTTCCTGTATACTTTGTGGGGGTCGGAAGAAGAAAAAAAATTCGCCTCGGCCCCAAAGGGGCCAAGGGCGCTCAGATCTCTTCTCCAAGAATCTTCGCTTTTCCCCTCCCCCAACCCCTCCGACGCCCCCCCCTCACCCATGTCGGCTGGACCAAAAATCCTGTCCGGCGGGCCTTGAAATTTTCGGGGTTCGTCGGCGTCCAGCTCCATGGGTCTATTCTTGTCGAAAATGTGCTGACAATTGCAAAAATCACTAAAAATTGCTTTTTTGTCCTGAAAAGCATGATCTCCTGCTGGCCAGGCCTGTCTGACGTGTCTGAGACTAGGCTCACGGCCCCAAGTCATCCAGCAAGCCCAGCCCAGCCTGCCCAGCCGGCGCATCTCAGGGCATGCCAGCCACTAGGCCGGCTCCCAGCCCGCCAGAGGCCAACGACCAGGCTCACGTGTCTGAGTCTCAAGCTATGCCAGCTACTAAGCGTCTGACGTGCCCCAGCCCCTCAGTCCGGCTGCCAAAGCAGCTGGCCAGGTCGACCTCCTGCTCACGTCTGGCCCCAAGTCATCCAGCAGGCCCAGCCCCTTCGGCGCAGTGACTGGTCTCAAAGTAGTGCCAGCCTGAGACTAGCCTCAGGCCCAGTCCCTCAGCCCGCTGGCGTGTCTTACGTGTCTGCGACTGGCCTCAGGCCCAGCCCAGCCAGCAACTCGCCACCCAGCCTCAGGCCCAAGTGTGTATGAAACAGGCCCCCAAGCACAGGCGCAACCAGCAGCGTAGTCCGGCTGCCCAGCAGCCAGCAACCCACCCATGGCTTCGCAGCCTTGTGGCTGAGCCTAGCTTCAGGCCCAGCCCAACCAGCAACCCACCTCAGCCCAGCCTGCCCAGCCCAGACCCCGGCGCATCTCAGAGCATGCCAGCCACTAGGTCGGCCCCCAGATAATGTGTCTGAGACTGGCTTCAGGCCAACGACCAGTCTCACGTGTCTGAGCTACTAAGCCTGTCTGACGTGCCCCAGCCCCTCAGTCCGGCTGCCCAAGCAGCTCAGCCCAGGCCTTGACCTCCTGCTCGCGTCTGGCCCAAGTCATCTGCACAGTCTGAGACTGGTCTCAAAGTATGCCAGCCTGAGACTAGCCTCAGGCCCAGTCCCTCAGCCCGCCTGCTGGCGTGTCTTACGTGTGCCCAGCCAGCAACTCGCCACCCAGCCTCAGGCCCAAGTGTGTATGAAGCAACCCGGCCCAGTTCCAGGCGAGCCCAACCAGCAACCCACCTCAGCCCAGCCTGCCCAGCCCAGGCCCCGGCGCATCTCAGGGCATGCCAGCCACTAGGCCGGCCCCCAGCTCCCAGCTGGCACCAGCAGGTGCCAAGGTCAGGTTTGTCTAACGTGTCTGAGACTGGCCTCAGGCCAACGACCAGTCTCACGTGTCTGAGACTGGTCTCAAGCTACGCCAGCTACTAAGCCTGTCTGACGTGCCCCAGCCCCCCAGTCCGGCTGCCCAAGCAGCTCAGCCCAGGCTGACAGTCTTGGTTTTGGATTTCAAACCTTCCGAGCAGGACGGCTTCCGAACATCGAACTAGCACGGGCGAACTGGTGCGGTCACAAGCTTTCAGTAGGATTCGGACCTTCCCAACACTGGATTTCGGTGTTCCTGACCCTTCCCTCAATCTAGGCTGGGCCGAGGCGGGCAACGCGAAGCGTTTACAATAATAAAGAAACAAGAAACAAACAAACAAACAAACAAAAAGTCGCCTACTTGCATGGGGTTCCGAATTCAGACGCCACACACCAGTTTGTTTATCCTTTCGTCAAAGCTCGAGCCCGCTGATTGGAAGTTGAACCAAATTCCGTGGAAAAATGAGCCTCCTGCGCGCCAAGCCTCCCAAGCAGCATGGCTGCCAGGATGGAGGCTGCCGCCAGAATCAGCCAGTGCGCCGCACCTCAAACGCTCAAGCTGAGTCTGTGTCAAGACAGGGGTGCTAGCCGTCCGTTTAGCCAGCCTCACAGAGAGAGACGGAGACACTCACACACACAGAGAGAGATAGACAAAAAGGGAGAGAGAGAGAAAGAGAGAGAGAGAGAGAGACACACACACACACAAATACGCACACAAATACGGTATACCCTTACTGCGTTGGCGGTTTACGGGGTACACAAAAGCTGTTTGTCCAAGCCCCACCAAGCCAGTTTCGGACTCACTTCACCGAAACAGAAACCATCATGGTGACAACTTCTTTCCCCAACACAGCCTCTCCCAAATCGGTCCCGTTGAGCCCGTCGGCAAACACACCAAGAAAAAAAGGCGCTCAGTTCTCTAGAGCAAGGGGAACCTCTTTGGGCAGAGGACCCGCCAAAAAATCATGACCTCCCCACCAAATGCACGCAATCGAGTCATTACCCCCTGTGTTCGGATGCAAATCATCCAGAGAATCAATGCAATCTCATCTGCCCACGCAAGCAAGTTTGCTGACTGCGCATAAAGGTTTACAATCTCATACAGTCTACAAGAGGCATGCGAACCGCTACAAACGAAACCATAAAGTCAGGTCTTCATCAGCTTTGGGTGCACCCTACGAACGCCTTGCTATGGCAAACCCCGAAGCTCGAGAACCATCCCCATAGGGTGTCTGCGTCTTGTCCAAACCCAAGGCTTTAGATTTGAGAACATATCTTTGCTGGAGCTGTCTTATGAAGCAAAACGCGGAAAACAAAAGAAGCGTGTTTGACGAGCCAATGCAAGCCTCACACATGACTCGTGATTTTGTCCTGCAAATAGGATCAAGGATTGGATGTGCTTCAAGGACATGCGGTGAAAACCGCCCTTGGCCCTTGCCCGCAGGGAGGAGCAACAATGGCCACCCAATTCTGCTTCTTCCTGGAGCATCTGTTGGCAGCAGCCCAGTCAAGACCGTTGTCTTTGAACATGTTGCAGTCACCCTTGTATAATTTGCGGCACCTGGAGAAACAAGGTCAGCGGGTTCTTCCAAGGAGTACTAATTATCTACCCCTGGCGTTGTGAAACCTGTTGCCTTCTTGCCAGCCTTGTGAAGAGGCTGCGGAAACTTCCTGCAGAAATGCAGGAGCCATGCTTGGTGCACTTGTAATTGTGGGACTCCCTGGTAAGTGCTTCAATCGGGTGCTCGACCGTGCTCTTGCCATCTTGGTCGTGGAAACCAAAATCAAATCCTGTGCCACAGAAAGCACCGAAATACACCCGGCCATGCACACACCCAGCAGCAAGACAGGACCTAGGGTAAATCTTGATATGCTTGATCCTTTCCGGATCAACTCAAGCTGTTCTTCGGGTTTGCCTACTGAAATGAGCCGCCCGACCCTTTCTCAAGGGTTTCTACCAGGGGGCGGTTTGTTTATCCCACAGCGGCAAAGGCAAACCATGGTTCTTCTTCACCCGCTTTCAACTTCGTTTGAGCTCCCCGAGGTGATCGAAGCACCCTGCGATGCCTCTCCCACCCGCCCCCGTCAAGCATGAGCCGGGAAAACCCTCGTGATGCCCCGGATACCTTTGGGGTCGAACTTCAAATGAGTCACAATTTTACAATGGTCTACCCCAAATCCATGTACGGATTGCTTGAGGTGGCCGAGCCTATTTCTGGCTGGGACTGCGCCTTACTAACCTTCATCTCCCAAGGTTTTGATTGTGGCTCAAACAGAGAAGGGGGCGGTGTGACACGAGAATTCGTCCGGCGTCGTTGCACAGGGCACAAAACTGGGTCTAGTTTGGGTGGAAACGACTCACATGCTGCCGAGTAGCACCGCATCCCGCAGCGTGCGGACAGGCTGCGGAGCCATGGGCAGTCTGTCTCTCTGACGGACGCTTTTTGGGCGGAAAGGCGAGCCTCGAGCTGCTGCATGCCCGAAAGTGTTCGTGCTTCTCGAGTACCCCAGGTACCACATGTCACATGTCAAAGCTTGAGCGGAAGAAGCTGAGAGGCCCAGGAAAACAAACAGAATAATTCCCACGGGTGTGAATGTTAGCGGGGGACCCTTTTGTGGACATAGGTGGGGATTCATGCCCAACCACTTGTAAGGTGCTTCCCTATTTAAGCTCATAGCCGTATTGCGGGAGTATCACAAATGCGATGCAAAGCCACATTGAATCATGCCAATACCACACCTGCCAGAGTGGACAGCGCAGCACGGCTTCTGATAGCAAACCACCCACTTGCTGCAGCCCCAGTGAGGATGAAAACCCAGGGTTCTCTGAGAAGCTTCATCAGAATGTCGGCTCCACCAACCACAGCACAAGCCGACTGTGTGTGTGTGAAACGAACGTGGATGGGGGGGGGGGGGGGGTGGGGGGGGTTTGGGGGATGGGGTTGGGGGGGGGGGTTGGGGGGGGGTTGGGGGGGGGTTGGGGGGGGTTGGGGGGGGGTTGGGGGGGGGGTTGGGGTGGGGCAACATGGCAAGCCACTAGCCAAATCCCCAATCGTCTTTTGACCTGTTATTTACAGTATTTTCAGCACATGAGACACTAAGAGACCATATGACGTCTCAGTCACTGCGCTGACTTGCGCTGCGGAGGCCCATGTCAATCTGCATGAACGAGAGAGGCTGGACAAACACTATGGAAGACTGTTGATGTTTGTTTTCGCAGCGGAAACATGACAAATCTGCAAGTTTTGGGCGGTGCTGTTGGTGTGAGACCTATGTTGAATCTCGTACTCCAGTAGGGTTTTGATGCGTGCATCGCATGCGTGTTGCCCAATGCAACTGATCCCGGCCTCTTTCGCTCATGCAAATTGACGCGAGCTTCCACGGCATAAGTCCGAGCGCAGTGACTGAGGTGGATTTCAGGTATCTTGGTGTCTCATGTGCTGAAAATACTGCAAATAAGAGGTCAACATATACATGGCTATGAATTTTAATAGGGAACTACCTCAAAAGTGATTGGTGGACATGAATCCCCACCTAAACGACGTCCACCAAACGGTCCCCGGGTAAAATTCATCTGGACACCTGGCGAGTGGCTCCTGGACGCTTCGGAGAACCTCGGGCTTTGGATCCCAAGTGACAGGGGTGTCAAAATAGAAAGATCACAAATTTGACATACGCTCTGAAAAAAGTAAATAAATAATGATAACTAAAAAAAAAAAAAAAGAAGAAGAAAAAAAGGGAGCCTATCTGGGCTGAGACCCCAAAGAATTCAGCTGTTGGGGGAAAAAAACATATTGTTTGCCGCCAAAATATATCAACCGCGGAACTACACATCCAAAATTAAAGCGGTGGTGCTCCGAATACACCAAGGTGACAAGGGTACCTTCAATGATTCAAGAATCGCACACAGAGACACATGACTCCATTTCATCCGCAGCTGCCATGGTCTCCACTCCTACCAGTGCCAATTTTAAAAGACAGTTCCAGATTGCCCTCAATACCACTCACCGCAGATTTGAGGCTGTGATCAAACAATGCAAGTACCCCGCCGGCCTCAAGCTTCGTGCAATTGCATGTGCTCCCAAACGTTTTGCAAGATCGCGTTCAGTCAACCGCAGTACTGCTGCGACAATCCCATCAGCCAATAGCGACAGCACGAAGGCTTCAACACAGGGCGCATGAGCCAGCCACCAAGAACCATTTCTTGGTGCTGTCATCCGAAGCATAAGTTTCGTGACCTCGCCGAGGTCTTCTGCATCTTCTTTATGATGTAGAGCACCTCTTGCCTTCAAATCCATCGAGACAAGGACCGCACGCGTCAGCCCGAAGGAACCGACACCGGCGCCGTGTCTTTCATGCTCGAGACGTCCTCCCCAGTAGCACTTGAATACCTCGCTGGGGCACGTCCGCCAGCAGCAGGGCCAAGGGGCTGTGGTTACTTTGCTCACAGGCGCCGATGGCGACGTTCAAGTCCACCGCGCTGGGGCTGAGTCGCGCGGTGGACATCTCGCCCAGCAGCCGCAAAGCCGCCTGCCACTCCCAGCCGGCGCCGCAGGCGCTGAGGCAGGCGCTGAAGCTGATCGCGTCTGGGCGCAGCTCCAGGCCGGGCATGGCCAACAACAGGTGCAGAGCCTCCGGCCATCGCGCGGCCTTCTCGCAGGCACTGATGACCCCACTGCAGCAAATCACGTCCGCCTCGAGTCCTGCAGCCGCCAGGGCAGACAGGAACCCAATCGCCGCCTGCCACTGCCCGGCTTTCTCACAAGCGCTGATCACGGCGCTGAAGGTGATCAAATCCGGCGGCGTCTCAGCAGCCTGCATTGCAACCAGCAGCCGGCTTGCCACCTGCCACTGCCCGGCCTTCTCACAGGCGCTAATCGCAGAATTCCACGCGATCTCATTCGGTGGAACTGTGGCGGACATGCTGCACAGAATACCAAGCCCGTGTTGCCATTGCCAGCCCTTTGCGCATGCGCTGATGACAGCACTGAAGGTGATCACATTAGGCGAGAGCTCATGCAAAGGCATTGAAGACAACAACTGAAAGGCCATCTCCCACTGCGCAGCTTTCTCGCAGGCGCTAATGGCAGCGTTGAAGCATATCCTTTCCGGCGCCATTTTTGCCAACATCTCCCCGAGCAACTTCAGCGCCATGGGCCACTGCTCTCCCTTTTCGCAGGCGCTGATGGCCGCGGCGAAGGTGATGCTGTTCCTTGGTGGCTGTCACGCACGTGTCTGGCTGGGACTTTTCGGGGGGGGTGGGGCTCCAGGGAAAAGCGAAAAGCCCGTAAGGCCCTAAGCGGTTGATCGGGAAGGGCCCGCCCTCGCTGAAAGATTCAAAGATCCGAGCAAAGATGGCCCTGGTTGATGGAACCGCCGGCAAAACCAGGAATCGCACTCTATTCTCAGCCAAAAAACAAAACTGCGTTTCGAACAACCAGGAAACCAAACCACACTATATTCAATCAACCAGGAAACCAAACCACACTATTTTCAACCACGAAACCAAACCACGCTCCTTTCAACCAACCAAGAAATCAAACAACACAATGGTCAACCGACCAGAAAAACCAAACCACTCGATTCTTCAACCAACGAGGAAACCAAACCACACTATGTTCAACCAGGAAACCAAACCACACTATTTGCAACCAACCAGGAAAGCAAACTAGTCATTCTTCAGCCAACCAGGAAACCAAACCACGGTATTTGCAACCAACCAGGAAACCAAACCACACTACTGTCAACCAACCAGGAAACCTCAGAAACCAAACCACTCTAATTTCAACCAACCAGGAAACCAAACCACACTATGTTCAACCCCCCAGGAAACCAATCCATTCCATGTTCAACCGACTGGTCAACCAACCAGGAAACGAAACCAATCCATTCTCAACCAGAAACCAAACCACACTATTTTCAAGCAATGAGAAAACCAAACCACCCATATTCAACCAACCAGGAAACCAAACCACACTATGTTCAACCGACCAGTAAACCAAACCACACGATTTCCACCAACCAGCGAAACCAAACCACACTATGTTCAACCGACCAGTAAACCAAACCACACTATTTCCACCAACCAGCGAAACCAAACCACTCTATTTCCACCAACCAGCGAAACCAAACCACTCTATTTCCACCAACCAGCGAAACCAAAACCATCTATTTCCCAACCAGCGAAGCCAAACCACTCTATTATCCACAAACCAGCGAAAAACAAACCCACTCTATTTCCACCAACAGCGAACCAAACCTCTCGATTTCACAACAGCGAAACCAAACCACTGTATTTCCACCAACCAGCCAAACCATTATTTCACCAACCAGGAAACCAAATCCTATCTATTTCACAACCAGCGGAAACCAAAACCACTCTATTTCACCAACCAGCGAAACCAAACCACTCCTATTTCCACCAACAGCGAAACCAAACCTCTCTATTTCCACCAACCCCAGCGAAACCAAACCACTCTTATTTTCCACAACCAGCGAAAAACCAAACCATTTATTTCCACCAACAGCGAAACCAACACTCTATTTTTCCACCAACAGCGAAACCAAAAACCATCTATTTCCACACCAACCAGCGAACTCAACCACTCTATTTCCACCAACCAGCGAAATCCAATACCAACGCTATTTCCACCAACCTGCGAATCCTAAAAAACAAATCATCTATTTCCACCAACAGCGAACCAATCCTCTATTTCCACCAACCAGCGAAACCAAAACACTCTATTTCCACCAACCAAGGCGAAACCAAACCGTCTATTTCACCATCAGCGAAACCAATTATCTATTTTCCTCCAACCAGCGAAACCAAACCTCTCTATTTCCACTCCAGCGAAACCAAAAACCACTCTATTTCCACACACCAGCGAAAAAACCCAAACCTCTCTTTTCCCCACCAGCGAAACCAAACCACCTATTTCACCAACAGCGAAACCTAAAATCATTATTTCCACCAACCAGCGAAACCAAACCACTCTATTTCACCAACTCAGCGAAACCAAAACCACTCTATCCATTTCGACCAGCGAAAACCTAAACCATCTTAATTGTCACCAACAGCGAACCAAACCAATCTTTGTCCACCAACCAGCGAACCAATTCATCTATTTCCAACACCAGCGAAACCAAACCATCTATTTCCACCAACCAGCGAAACCAAACCACTCTATTTCCACCAACCAGCGAAACCAAACCACTCTATTTCCACCAACCAGCGAAACCAAACCACTCTATTTCCACCAACCAGCGAAACCAAACCATCTATTTCCACCAACCAGCGAAACCAAACCATCTATTTCCACCAACCAGCGAAACCAAACCACTCTATTTCCACCAACCAGCGAAACCAAACCATCTAGTTCCACCAACCAGCGAAACCAAACCACTCTATTTCCACCAACCAGCGAAACCAAACCATCTATTTCCTTTAAAAGGAGACCAGGGAGACTCCTAAATTTCACCAACCAGCGAAAAAAAAACAAAACCACTTGGTTTCCACCAACCAGGCGAAAAGTAATACGTAGTTTCCACCAACCGCGAAACCAAACCACTCTATTTACACCAACCAGCGAAAACAACCATCTATTTCACCAACAAGTCGCAAACCCCACTCTTATTTCACAACCGCGAACCAAACCACTCTATTTCCACCATACCAGCGAACCAACCCCACTTCATTTCCACCAACCAGCGGAAACAAAACCTAAATTTTACCACCAACAGCAAAACCAAAACCACTCTATTTCCACAAACAAGCGAAACCAAAACCATTATTTTCACCAACAGCGAAACCAAACCACTCTATTACCACACCAGCGAATACAAACACTTATTTTCCACCAACCAGCGTAAACAAAACACTCTATTTCCACAACACAGCGACCAAACCACTCTATTCCACAAACCAGCGAAACCAAACACTCATCTTTCTACCAACCAGCGAAACCGAAAACCATCTGATTCACCAAACCAGCGAAACCAACCAATCTTTTTCCCACCAACAGCGAAAAACCAAACCATCTATTTTCCACCCAACCAGCGTAACTATGTCATCTTATGTCCACCAACCAAGCGAAACAAAACCACTTATTTCCACCAACCAGCAAACCAAATATCTATTTCCACATCCAGCGAAACAATACCACTCTATTTCCACAAAACCAGCGAAACCAACCACTCTATTTTCCACCAACCGCCCAAACCAAAACCACCTCTATTTCCCACCAACCAGCGAAACCAAAAACCATCTATTTCACAACCAGCGAAACCAAACCACTCTATTTCAGCAACCTGCGAAACCAACCATCTATTTCCACCAACCTCGAAACCAAACCATCTATTTCACAACCAGCGAAAACAAACCACTCTAATTTCACCATTACAGCGAAACCAAACCAAACCACTCTATTTTCCACACAGGAAAACCAAACCACTCTTTATTTCACCAACCAGCAAAAACCAAATATCTATTTCCACCAAACAGCGAACCAAACCCACTCTATTTCTCCACCTGACCAGCGAACCAAAACCACTCTATTTCCCCACCAACCAGCGAAACCTAACCACTCTAGTTTACACCAACCCGCAAAACCAAACACTCTTGTTCCACAACCAGCGAAACCAAACCATCTATTTTCACCTAATCCCAGCGAAAACCAAAATTCCATCTAATTTCCACCAGCCAGCAACCAAATCATCTATTTCCACCAACCAGCGATTCCAACCACTCTTTTCCACCATTTCCACCAACCAGCGAAAACAAACATCTAGTTCCTCAAACCTGCGAAACAACCACTCTATTTACAAACCAGCGAACCAAAGCATTATTTCACCAACCAGCGCAACATACACTATATTTACACAACACAGCGAAACAAACCACTCTATATCTCCTAACGGCGGATATCCAAACCACTCTATTTCCCACCAACCGCAAAACCAAATATCTATTTCCACCAACAGCGGAAACTCCAATCCACTCATTTCACCAACCAGCGAATACCAAACAACTCTATTTCCCACCCACAGGCATAACCAAACAAATCTCTTATTTCCACAACAGCTGAAACCAAACCACTCTATTCACAAAACAGCGAAATCCAAACCCTCTATTTCCACAACAGGCCGGAAACAAACCACTCTATTTCCACCAACCAGCGAAACCATATTTTATTACACCAACCAGCGAAACCAAAACACTCTTTTTCCACCAACATTTCCACCAACCAGCGTAACCAAACCACTCTATTTCACCAACCAGCGACAACCAACCACTTATTTCCCACAACCAGCGAAACCCAAACCACTTATTTCACCAACCAGCGAAAACCAAACCACTCTATTCCACCAACCGCGAACAAACCACTCTATTCCACAACCAGCGAAACCTAAACCACTTCTATTTCCACCAACCTGCGAACCAAATCATCTATTTCCCACCAACCAGCGAATCCAAAATCATTATTTATCACCAATCCAAGCGAAACCAAATCATCTATTTCCACCAACCAGCGAAACCAAACCACTCTATTTCCACCAACCAGCGAAACCAAACCACTCTATTTCCACCAACCAGCGAAACCAAACCACTCTATTTCCACCAACCAGCAAAACCAAATCACTCTATTTCCACCAACCAGCGAAACCAAACCATCTATTTCCACCAACCAGCGAAACCAAACCATCTATTTCCACCAACCAGCGAAACCAAACCACTCTATTTCCACCAACCAGCGAAACCAAACCATATATTTCACCAAAAACCGAAAACAAACCATCTATTTCCACCACCAGCGAACCCAATCACTCTATTTCCACCACCAGCGAACCAAACCACTCTATTTCACCACCACCAAACAATCCAAACCATTTTTTCAACATACAGCGAAAACCAAAAAACTTCTATTCACCAACCAGCGAAACCACACCCCACTTATTCTCCACCAACAGCGAAACCAATAACCACTCTTTTCCACCACCCGATAACCCAAACACTCTATTTCCACCAACCAGCGAAACCAAACCATCTATTTCCACCAACCAGCGAAACCAAACCACTCTATTTCCACCAACCAGCGAAACCAAACCACTCTATTTCGACCAACCAGCGAAACCAAACCATCTATTTCCACCAACCAGCGAAACCAAACCACTCTATGTCCACCAACCAGCGAAACCAAACCACTCTATTTCCACCAACCAGCGAAACCAAACCACTCTATTTCCACCAACCAGCGAAACCAAACCACTCTATTTCCACCAACCAGCGAAACCAAACCACTCTATTTCCACCAACCAGCGAAACCAAACCACTCTATTTCCACCAACCAGCGAAACCAAACCACTCTATTTCCACCAACCAGCGAAACCAAACCACTCTATTTCCACCAACCAGCGAAACCAAACCACTCTAATTCCACCAACCAGCGGGAAACAAACATCTATTTCCACCACAGCGAAACCAAACCACTCTATGGTCAACCAACCAGCGAAAAACCAAACAGCACCCTTCCCCAACCATGCGAAACCAAACATCTATTTCCCCAACCAGCGAAACCAAACACACCTCTTTTTCACAAACAGCTGAAACCAAACCACTCTATTTCCACCAACCAGCGAAACCAAATCATCTATTTCCACCAACCAGCGAAACCAAACCACTCTATTTCCACCAACCAGCGAAACCAAACCACTCTATTTCCACCAACCAGCGAAACCAAAACATCTATTTCCACCAACCAGCGAAACCAAACCACTTTATTTCCACCAACCAGCGAAACCAAACCACTCTATTTCCACCAACCAAGCGAAACCAAACCACTCTATTTCCACCAACCAATGAAACCAAACATCTATTTCCTCAACCAGCGAAACCAAACCACTTTATTTCCACCAACCAGCGAGAAACCAAACCCTCCTTTCCTTCCTATTGACCAACCAGCGAAACCAAACCATCTATTTCCACCAACCAGCGAAACCAAACCACTCTATTTCCACCAACCAGCGAAACCAAACCACTCTATTTCCACCAACCAGCGAAACCAAACATCTATTTCCACCAACCAGCGAACCAAACCACTCTATTTCCACCAACCAGCGAAACCAAACCACTCTATTTCCACCAACCAGCGAAACCAAACCACTCTATTTCCACCAACCAGCGAAACCAAACCACTCTATTTCCACCAACCAGCGAAACCAAATCATCTATTTCCACCAACCAGCGAAACCAAACCACTCTATTTCCACCAACCAGCGAAACCAAACCACTCTATTTCCACCAACCAGCGAAACCAAACCATCTATTTCCACCAACCAGCGAAACCAAACCACTCTATTTCCACCAACCAGCGAAACCAAACCACTCTATTTCCACCAACCAGCGAAACCAAACCACTCTATTTCCACCAACCAGCGAAACCAAACCACTCTATTTCCACCAACCAGCGAAACCAAACCATCTATTTCCACCAACCAGCGAAACCAAACCACTCTATTTCCACCAACCAGCGAAACCAAACCACTCTATTTCCACCAACCAGCGAAACCAAACCACTCTATTTCCACCAACCAGCGAAACCAAACCACTCTATTTCCACCAACCAGCGAAACCAAACCACTCTATTTCCACCAACCAGCGAAACCAAACCACTCTATTTCCACCAACCACAAATCGCCCAGCTTCGGCTCCAGCGATCCAAATCCTCCGAGCACCTGGAGCGCGGCCTCCCATTCGGCGCCCTTCTCACAGGCGCTGATGGCGGCGTTCCTAAGACCACCAACGAATTCGCGGGGATACCGGGGGAAGCGGGGATCGACTCTGTCTAAATATTACCTGAAACATATGCCCACATCCCGGCTTCCCCTGCATCCCTGCTTGTTTGTTTGTCTGAAGGTGTCGAACATCGGTGTAACTTTTTCGGCGAGGGAACCACGTGTTGGTTGGTTTCTGAAAATTAAATTGGGAGAAAGAAGTCGCCATGTGGGTTTTTCTTGGTTTCCCTTCAAACCAATCCAAAAAAGGATACCCACGGGGAAAAAAACAAAAACGACGCAGCACAAATCTTTTCTACCATCATTTTAGCCAACAGCAAAGATGCGTGTCTCTGTGTGTGTGTGTGGTTTTGAATTTGCTTTGGAGGGTATCCTTTTCACCCTGGTTGAGAAGGAAACCAAAGGGACCACCAAACTGATTTAACACCTACCCATACAAGATAGTGCCAAACGTTGACTCGGGTTCAAGGTGATTTCATTCGGCAGCACCGCCAGTGCCGACATGTCATCCAAGATCTGCAAAGCTATCGCCCACTGCGAGCCTTTCTCACAGGCGGAGATGGCGGCGCTGAAGCCTGAAACTTTTGCCCGCCAACATGTTGAAACACCTCAAAGGGGCTCCCCAAAATGTCAGAATCCAAAAAAGAAGACTCTGAAAAAAGAAGACAAAAGCCGTTTATCCTCAGAAGGAAAAAGCAAAAAGGGGACCAAAAACCAACGCGAGCAACACACCACGTTGGGCACGGCTTCGACTTCGGCTCCGGCCGTGGCGAAGCCTTGCGTCGCTTCCGCCAGGAGCCAAGTTGCCGCCTGCCAGCGGCTGCTTTTGCCACAGCAGCTGATCGCTGCGCTGTACGACGCTTGAGAGGCTTCAAGCGACGCCCTGTGGATCGCCTGAGCAAAAAATGAGCGACCAAGATGCTCCAAAGCTGAGGAAACAAGTTCTTGTGAAGGTTACAACAGGGAGGGTGACTTTGGAATCAAACTTGACTCCAAAGGCGCGAAATCCCGAAATCCCAAAGCACCCCCGAAGGCAGCCCCCCTTTTCTGAGAAAATCCTTCACCAAAAGCCCGAGAATCTGGGCCTGGCCGAAGCCTTCTCGTCCCAAACAAACTGTCCAGTCCGAGCCTTCGAGGGGACCCTCTCCAGAACAAGGCAGGTTCCCTTTTACACCAGCATTGAGAGGCGGGCTAAATCTTGAGAATCAACCACTAGCCCTGAAAACCAAAAATACCTCAGCCTTTCGCCCCACAGAAAAAGAGAAAAGAAAAAGAAGAAGAAAAAACAAAAAAAGGATACGACACTCATGTTGGGTCCTGAAATTTGCGACTCGCATCCCTTCCCCTCCGGTCTTTGGTCTTTGTTCGGTGCGCCTGCAGCAGCTGCAGCGCCATAGGCCACTCGCCCGCCTTTTCGCAGGCGCTCAGCACGCTGTTGAAGCTCACCACCGTTGCCGCTTCCGAGGACCGCCTCAGAAGCCGGCCGAGGCCGAGGCGGTGTCGGATGTTTGGCGAGGGCGGGTTGGGAGAACCACACACCTCGTAGGGAAAGATGTCTAGGTTGGTTGCGAGACCAGTTGCCGGGAAACTTGAGGCAGTCCCAAAAACAAAGGTTCGTCAAGGATCCTACCCATTGAACCTATCCCCACTCTTGCAGCCTTCTTTCGGGTAGCACATCAAAACGTTCAACCTGGCTTCCATTGAAACCATCAAGGCAAAACGGGGATGTTGAGAGCCCGGCCAACAGCTCCCGCTCAAATCAGCCAACAGCTGCAGAGCTTTAGGCCAGCTTAAAGCGCTCATGCACGCATTGAAGGCCATGACGTTGGGCAAAACCTGCACAGTGTTTCCCTGCTTTCGGTTGGTTTCCTTGGAAATTCGTGTTTTCCCTTTTCCCCTTGGGTTTCCTTGAAAATTAATGATTCCCCGTGGTTTCCCTTTGGTTTCCGTTTGGTTTCCTCTTGGCTTCCTCGCAAAAAAGAATGAAGCATAAATCCCAAAGCAAACAGAAGCTCGAAGCTCCGCTTTCCACTCGCCTGGGCGGGTTTCATGGAGACCAAAATCCGGAGACCCTGCCGCCATCGCCTTGAAGCCGCACAAGCGCTGATGCCGGAGCTAAAACTGATCACGTCCAAAGAGTGGGTGTTGTCCAACACTGACAGCAGCTGGAGCGCCATCTGCCACTCCCCGGCCTTTTTCTTTTTTTTTGTTGTTGGGAACCTCAAGATTCCACAGGTTCACCACCCCGGAAGGGCTCCAAAAACAACATGGAAACGTGGGCTTCTTTTTCAAGGGTGGGGTGACACCCCTTTCTGGTTTGGGATGTATCGCTTTTGGAGGGAACCCCCCTATCAATAGCAAGGGCATCTGAAACTTGTGATGCTAAAGTGGGACTTCCGTCCTCATGATTGCTTTATCACTTCACTTCCATCGGGGTTTTCTTCTATCGCAGCAGCTGCCAACTTAAAAAAAGGATGTCCCGCAACCATGCCTTCGCGCAAGCATTCACCGCTGCGTTGAAGGTGATGAGGTTGGGCTCGGCTGTCGCTAAAGGCATGTCCGCAAGAAGTTGCAACGCACATCTCCAGTTTTCACTTCTCCCACAAACCGTGACTACAGAGGTGAAATGAATCACGGTCGGGGTCAGCTTCACTGCAAGCGCGTTGGACAAGAGCTGTAGGGCTGCCGCCCACCTGCGAGCCCGACCACAATTGCCAATCGCGGCATTCAGGGCTTGCCCCACGGGAGGTTGGTCTCGCGGAGACTTGGACCGCGGCATCGAACGACATCATCCAGCTCGAAGAGTGGTCTTGCCGCGATCCGGCAGACCCCTTTGCCCGGCCAAGCTTGGTGCAGTCAGGCAGGAAGCATGCGCGCTGCGCCGGTCAGGCGCAGCGCAGGCAAACGGCAAACGGCATTGCTCAAGCACGGACTACCAGATGCAAGCGACAAAGTCATGCTCGCTATGTAGTTCTTCCCCAGGTATTTGTAGCCTTCAAACCACGGAGCTTTTTGGGAGGTCTCACGATTGCTTGAAGCGGCAAAGTATGTTGACAAAGCAAAACATCTTGTCCGAGCATGTGCTTCCATCTTGCGCTTGCATACCTACGTACAACCAGACGCATCATTCTCTTGCAAACGATTTGTTGTAGGTGTTTGTCCATATATCAAATATATTCATGCACGGCCTTCAAGGCACTGTGACTTCTTGCAATAGGCGAATGATTATGAACATTATTGAAAAATCCCACATCATGGGGCTACTTCAACTGATGCACCGACTGGCCTCCTGGCTCCTAAAAGGCGCACAAAGCCTAAACTTCCCACTGAGCAACGTGCCTGGGCCGAAGTGTCGAACCCCCACGTGACCACATTGGCGGGCCAGTGAAGAATTGATACATGTCCTCAAACAGTTTCAAGGTGACAGATCTCAACCAAATAGCAAAGAAGCAACGCACAAGACCAGCAGCAAAACTGGAAGGGTGAATGCTTGAAAGGTGGAAAAATGCGCAAATACAAATGCAAACCCCTGGCAAGCGACCCCAAACAGCGGTCAAAAATATGATTGCAAAACATCATGAAACAGTAATCCATGCAGGTCACATTAGCCGCTCGGTCACATGACAATCGCCGCTCGCTTGCTGCGCAGACCATTTTTGTTGAAGTGACCACACAGAAGGCCTCAACAGACCGACTTGCACTTGTTTCTTCAAACAGAAGCTTTCGGAAAGCTCCTTTAGAACACCTCTCTTGGAAAAAGCAAAAATTATCTGAACTAACATCTGCTCATGTTTCCTGGACAAGACCTCTGTGGAAGGATCCTTGCACGATCTGTGGATAGGATCTCTTGTGACAGGATCTCTTGGCAAGACCTGCGCGCCGGATTTCTGACACAATCCTCTACAAGCACTCGGCTCAAGATCTGCTGGGAGCATCCTCTGCAAGATCTGAAGTTTTTGCAGGCCTACGCAAGACCTTGACCGGCGCAAGAGATTTGTGGGCGAACCCTTTACAAGATCTCTGCACAAGAACTCCTGGTAGGCTCTCTTTGCAGGATATCCTCCACAAGAGTTCTGTTCGAAATCTGTATGGGGCATCCTCTACAAAGTATCTTGCAAGAAAATATTTGCAGGTCCTGCACAAGACCTCAACCGGCACAAAACATTTTTGGGAGGCTCTTCATAAGATCTCTGTACAAGACTTTTGGGTACGATCTCCCGGCACAATTTGCGCGCAGGTTTCTCAAAGGACCCTCCGCGAGGAGGGATCACCCGTTACAAGACCTCTTGGAGGGAATTTTTTGCAGATCCCGTCAAGCAACGCATCCTTTTGCGTGAAGGGCGAAGCTATGGGCAGTCTGTGTTCCGTCAAAAGCACGCGAGATGGGCGCAAGTCGAAAGCTCGAAACGTGTCCCTGTTTTTGTGCAACCAAAAAAAAAGAGTTTCTTTCAAAGCTTGAGTACCAGCTGAGAACGCCACGAAAAACAGGAGGCCCGTGCGCGGATGGCGCGTGTTTTTTCCCGTGCCGCCTTCAGCATAATCAAACAAAGGGTCCGCGTGCTACAAAAAAGGCGAAATTAGCCTGCAATCCAGAGGACGCGGGATGTCACGCCAGGTACAAACACCGCCTAATGGACTGGACAAACAAAACCCAAAAACGTCCCCCCTACAGGATGCTAGCACCCCCAAGGGGAAGGCAGATAGAAGCGCTAGGCCCTAGACCTGCCGGCTCCGCAATGAGCGACAGCAGCAAACCAAGCCCCGCTTTTCCCATGCCAAGAAAACTGCCAGAAAAATGCATACCATCTGTAGAAAAACAAACCAGAACCACAAGCAGGCCACTGCCAATAGCTGTACGAAAAATACCACTATAACGCAACACATAGCTGACACCTGCAGGTCGACCAGGATTTGGTACTCACTGCAACCGACCGACCTCCGATGCTGTAGGCTGCCATGGCAATGCAATCAAGCCCAATCACCAGGCCATAGGTTTTAGCATTGCACCAAAGCGCAGTCCACCCACCAAGTGTCAGTTGAAGCAAAAGCCACCACATGAGAACCACCAGCCAGCGCACAAAACCCAGCATTCTGTAAAAACATCATGACCAATAAGCAAAAACCAAACTTGAGGGTTAAGACCTGTTGCACTGCTCCTACTTGAACCCAAACAACCCTCACAAAAAGGGAACCCACGAAGCGAAAAAAACGCGCATTCCTTTTTTACCGGGTTGGTGGAAAGTGCACGGCTTCTAGGGCACGCGGTGCACCTAGAGCAGGGGGCATGTTCACCCCCCCGTGAAACGGATCAAAAGCGCCAGACATGCGTGTCCTGGCATGTGGCGGCGCAAATGCACGGCACGGCAAGCGTGCCCACGCCTGGATCAGCGGACAGCGGTCCGTGATCCGTAAGAGCGTACCGCGGGTACCGCCCTTACTGTGTTGGAGAGGACGGGGCCCTTTTGGAAATGCAACGAACAAAACTCCAAGGCAGCCGCTATTTTTCTCGCGCCGGTCGGACGCTGGCCACCGCCTCCCGACGGCCAGGGCCGGCATCGACAAGGGGGACTAGATGCTCGTCTCGAAACGAGCGCCACCGGGCCGAATTACTCCAGCGCAGGCATCGGTGTGCCTGAAATTCGATGAAACAACACGTAGTGTGAAACCATTCTGTTACGCGGCAGCAGGTCCTGGATGTCCTCCGGCAAAGGCAGGGATACCGGCACGGTCCGTGCCCGAGGGATCTTCAGGTATCGCAGATCAGCAGTCAACTGCTGGTGATCGGGATAGAACCCGCAGGCCTCAAAGGACGGCCGCCATAGTCTCGCCCGCCAGAAGTCGCGCAACAACGAAGATGCAGCTGTGGCCCACCGCTCCTGCAGCACGCCCCCGTCGGCCGCCTCGAAGGCCAGCATTGCGCGCTTGAGCACGACTTTGTAACTCGCGAAGCCTCGGACGTCCAGGGGCTGCAGCATAAAGGTAAGCTTGGCCGGCACGTACACCAGGCGAATGTTCAGCAGGTCGGCAGTGGCCGCTACGGAGTAGTGGCAGTGTGCTGGGGCACAGTCCAAGGTCACGATGGGCTGGGGCGTCGGAAAGACATCCATAATATCGCGTATGCGATGAAGCACCATGCACATCACAGAGCGGTCGCACCACGCAGGCTGACGTCTCCAAATCTCCACGTTGTGTAACTCATGCAAGTGGGCATCTGCTAGCGCGCTCTCCGGGAACAGGCGGTGATTCTGCGGGCACCGCTTGCACGGCGGGATGTCACATATCAGGGCCACATGGGTGGAAGCCCCTACCTTGCTGCTTCACAGTCTTTCCTACGCGGTGTCAAGCCACTCACCCATCGCCCCCTTCCGATGAAATAGCACGGGCTTAGCGCAGCCTCGGTATATCGCTGTCTCGTCCAGGTTGATGTGGCACGGGCTGTAGCCCTGCTCTGCCGCTTTTTGTCCCACATAATCCAGCCACAGCCGAAAAGTGACGCGCTTTTCAGCATCCAAGACGGCATTCCGACAACAGGTGCCAAGTAGAAAAGGGCATCATATGACGATACGGACAGTATGCCCATAAGCAGCAAAAAAACAAAAAAACTGCCTTGAGGACAAAGTCTTCTTTCGCGAGCAGCTCGCCCTCCTTCATCGCACCGCGCCGCAGCTCCCAGTGCCGCTTCATGCGACCGCACCACTTGCACCATCTGGGACCTACACATTGGCCTCGGCCGCCATGTGAAATGTTAATCGGCTCTGCGTGCGACACCTCCACCTCGCACACGTCATCCAGGGCCGAGCAGTACCGCTGCACCATCTCCAGACCGCACGGCGTTCGTTGTGCCGAGTGAGCCACGAGATGGTCTGAGACGCGAGCAGGCTCGTGTCTCCTGAGCACATCAGCGCGAAATCAGCACCAAGGTGATGAAGGAAATTTAACAGTCGCGCTTGGGCTGACAGCGCTTCTCGTTATATATGAGTTAAGGCATGTCGCACTGCTCCTAGCTTGAACCCAAACATGAAACCTCAAAAGAACAAAGCTCGTCCGAAGCGGCCGCAGTTCTTTTTACCGGGATTGCTGAAAGTTGCACTGCTTCCAGGGCACTAGTGCGCCTGGAGCAGGAGGCACATTGACCCCCCGAAATGTGAAAAGGCAAGACAATGCGTGTCCTTGCGTGTAAATGCAGTGCTTGGGGGGCGCGGCATGCGTGCCCACGCCCCAAGGTCCGGAGACCGACAGTCCGGAGACTCGAGGTCCGGAGACCGAAATTGGTCCGGAGACCTGGTCCGGAGACCAAAGTGCCCGGAGGCGACCCACGAAAGTGCAGAGAAACTGCTATCTATCCTGGCAAAGCCTGGCATAGGGCAGTGCAGGGCGGGTGGGTGGGTTTCAGAAATGAAACCGCAGGTTTGGGTCAAGGCTAGGAGCAAAACGGCCAACGCATAGTTCGATTCACCACATGCCCTAAACACAAGGGAAAAGAAACCCTAAGCGTTAAGGCATGTCGCACTGCTCCTAGCTTGAACCCAAACATGAAACCTCAAAAGAACAAAGCTCGTCCGAAGCGGCCGCAGTTCTTTTTACCGGGATTGCTGAAAGTTGCACTGCTTCCAGGGCACTAGTGCGCCTGGAGCAGGAGGCACATTGACCCCCCCTTCAGTGTTTCAGGCAACCCCAATAAAAGCGAACCCGCTGGGCCGAAGGCCTCATCACCCGCCCTTCAGAGTGGGGTTGTACCTGGCAGGGCAGATGCTAGCGTCACCATGCACGCTGGGTTGTGAACATGCGGTGACTGCACTTTTTTCTGGTCAGAGCGGCTTGAGTAAGCGGCTGGCTGACATCGCCAGTTGTTCTGGCTGACAGGGCAACGGCGGATATTGGGTCAGAAGGCCATGTCGGATGCAGGCACGCCAGGGCGCATGCATCGGACACAGTTGAATGCCTCG